TTCAGGATCTGTCCTTCCAGTGAGCACTCGGGGTTGATTTCCTTCAGAATGGATAGGTTTGTTCTCCTTGCAGTCCAGGGGACTCCCAAGAGTCTCCTCCAGCACCACAATTCAAAAGCATCAATTCTTCGGCAATCAGCCTTCTAGAAAGTGCTAGAACCTTTGATATACTGATACACAGATATTAAAGGGTATGTCTGTGAAAATTCAGGTACTCTCAATAGCATCAGCCTTACAACTAAATGGTTAGAGAGCTTTCCCACATAATCAGTAACATTTTAGGATTGTGTCTAGAGGGTGACCCAGAAAAATGTGGAGATGCTGAAACTACATTATGTGGAAACAGTAGGTAGTACAGGTGAGCTAAGAAAGCAGAATGATTCCTGTGGTTCTAGTGTTAGAAGGAAAGTTGTATACAATACTGCAAGTCAAGAAGATCAATAGAAAACTATGTGGGCATGGAGATCCAGGAAAGTAAAAGCAGGTAAAGAGGGCTGAGGGTTTGGTGGAAGCTACAGAAGAGCTTCAAAAGAGTCCAGCATGTTATTCAACAAACCCTCTCAATAGAAAGTAAAGGAATGTGAGATCAATGTGGAAGCCCAAAAAATATATATCTACTACACTGAATGAATTACTCAGACCAGAAAGTTTTAAAGCCAGGAGGCATTGTCTTTGTCACATATCACTTAATCAGCAAAGTCAGGAACAACCTGCAACATACATTAGTCGTAATCTTGCTGTGGATTTATGCTGGCATAGATGTAATGACTTAAATTGTAGTAGCAAATTGCCAGTAATTAATGAGTTGCCACCCACATTCCTAGCCACACACTAAGTTGCACAACTGGCACATGGTGAAGAATGCGAGCAGCATTAGAAACAATTTACACCATCAGACTCAACATCAGTTTAAAACTACAGTGGTGCCTTGCTTAGCGATCGCTCCGTATAGCGATGAAATCACTTTGCAATGGACTTTTTGCCATCACAAGAGAGATAGCTTAGCGATGGTTCCTATGGGGAAAATTCGCTTTGCGATGATCGCGGGGAGGATTCCATCCAGCAAGTTTTTGAAGCCCACATTTTAACCAAGACTTCCTCTAGAAAAAAAGTTTTTGTATGGTTTCCACAAAATCATGAGTGGAGCCAGAGTTAGAGCAGCAGTTAATTCTGAAAAAATGACTTTATTGTTTAAAAAAGGAATCACTGGGTAGAATCATATTGGTGGTTACATAAGGTTTGTATAATTTGCCATTGCTACTTGCAGCTAATTTATTAGGTGTACATCTTGGCTATGCAGCCAGAAATGTGACCAGGTACACAACCAAGATGTACCCCTACACCTTGCAAATTACTTGCAATTAGCCCCAGCAAGTTATTCATATCTCACACAAACACCAGTAAAATTTGGCCACTTTCTCAGAATGTCCCACCCTATTTCTGAACAGACTTCATAAGATCACTAAGTTTGTTGGCTGTAAACGACTTGAATGCTCTCAGGAGTGCTGTAATGTATATTCCATCCCTCCTTTTTCATTGTTAAGTAGGGGATGTTGGCAAGTCGGTGGGTCCAAGTCCCAAATCTAATTCTGAGTCTTTGGTCCCAAACCCCAGGTCCAAGTATCTATTCAAAACAAGCTCTTTCCCCCAGAAAAAAGGAGGGGTGGGTGGATTCTGAATTGTGGGTCAAGACCAAGACATTGAAAAAAAACCCACACCACAGTCGAGTCCAACTTGAGTCACTGGTGTGACTTAAGTCTGACTTGACAGCGAGTCATGCAATTTGAGTCCCCATCCCTCTTGTTCAGTCAACATTCTTCCCAGCCGGTTGTTTTGAATCATTGGAAGAACTCCAGAAAGTGGTCCCTGCTGTTCTTCACCATAGAATCGCTGCCTGGGAAGAGCTTTAGCCTCCTACTTTCAGTGACAGTCTCAAACCTTAGCTTTGACTGTCACCTACTCAACCATGACTGCAGTGCACTGTGCAGTTCTTAGCACCAGCACCATTTCTCTAAGTTAACTATTGTGCAAATAAACCTGATACCAAGCTGTGTGAGACTATAATTACTTCCAAACAAGTACTGTACCATATTTTGCACTGTGCAAGGGCTGAATGCCTAATCTCTGTCACTTGCCTTTCACACTTGTATCGGTGTGCCAGAAGCTTGGTAGGGCTTTCCCATCAAAACTTCAGTTGTTCCATTCTGTCTGTTTGTGGCCTGTTACACAAGCAAATGCAAGAAGCACTTAGAGTGTCCCTGCCCACGTAGTCATTGTTCCAGGTCTTTGGGGCATGATGGAAGAGTTCCTTGCCACCAACTTGTTATGTGAGAAACTAATTGATACAAGCAAGCAAACAAACAAAACCCACCATCCCAGGGACTCAGACATAGTCCCCTGGGCCAGGACTCAAGAATCTGCCTTTTAAAAGGATGACTGCAATGACATGTTGAAGCTACCCCTAACTTCACAATGGCAGGATGATGCTCCATGTTAGAAGTGGTCAATTCTGGTACAACCAAAGGCCAGATTTTTACTCCCAGTATTCTTCCTTAAGATGCATCAAGCTCAAAAATGGTTCCAAACAGTCCAAAATGGAGAGAAGGAATCAAAACCGAAGTTCTGGCCATTTTGATTTTTTTGGGGGGGGGTATGTGTGCATGTGGTGGTCGGGACGTGAGGGTCCTGTAGTGCCCCTCCTGGAAAACTGCTGCTCTTGGGTGCCTCAGGTTTAGCCTCACCTTGATCCCCTCCCCCGCCTATTTCTGAGGCTTATAGGGATCTGGAGAGCCTAAACAACAGGACAGGGGGCAGATGCAGCTCATCCATCTAGACTGCCATCTTACTGGTTATGAATGGCCTTAACTTTCCAAATCCCTTCTTTGGCATCAGGATCAAATCCTGAGCCACTACTGGGGTATCCTAAGCTAGCTGAGAAAATCCTTAGACTGTAGTAGAATGTTCATTGTACCCAGTTCCACATGCAGATTTTCCAGCAGGGCAGATCATGGAACTGGGTGGCAAGGAAGTCATGTTATGCTACCCAGTCCACTCTCAGTCTTTCTTAGTTACATGTTTTTGTGGCTGAGCCATGACATTCTAGTCCAATTTTGGTTTTAAATCCTGATGAGCTTTAGCTGAAATTAAACCTGTTTCTTAGGGAAGAAAAGAGCACTGATGACAGAGACAGACTCTCATCAGTGTTTGTAAAAACTACTGTTTTAGCCTACTACAAATAAGCATTATTTACCATTTTGTTATCGTGTTATTTATTGAACAGCTTTGGACAGCTACTGTAACTACGAGCTGTACACAGTTATTTTAGCTTGTATATCATTTAAACTTTGGGCTTGAATAATCTGCATGAACTTTTTCTACTGAATTAGAAGCTGAATTTAAATACTACATTTGACATGTTTTCTGGTTACTAAGTTTAAGGGTGCAATGAGACCGTGGGAAAGATGTGCATCTGAGTGCACTGGAAAGGGTCACTTTGTTGGTAGTCATCTCCCCTAAAGTGACTTTTCAACCCATAGGGGAATTGCTACCAAAAAGTAGTAGCCTTACTGCTGGATAAAAAATATCCAGCTTTGACACAGATTAGGCTGGAGTGCTATTGCTTGTAGATTGGAAAATATTCCTTCTGAACTGTGTCTCAAGCAGTACAAAATGTGAGCTATACACCTGTATGATCCCACCCTAGGCTGGCCAGTTTTACTGTGAAGGAAAAATAACTACAGGGGGCCCCAGATAGGAGTTTAAAAGCAGTTTCCCATCAAAATTCCCTCACAGCTGTTACCTGTCTGTTTTCTGTCTCTTTATTGCTATTAAGCAGATTGGCTTCTGAAATAAGCTACAGGCTATACCTTTTTGCATATCTCATCCCCAGTTTTCCACTGGTGTCCATCTATACTAACATAAAGTCTTACTCACCACTTTGTGAAACTTTACCCAGTCAAATACATTATTTTACTATCATTACATTTTTTCCCTTTTCTTCAAACAGATAGTGTTATGTATTCGCAAAGGCTTTCACAGCCAGGATTTAATGGTTGTTGTGGGGTTTTTGGGGGGGGGGGTTGGTAGAACTCTACCCAGCCACAAGGACCAGTGATCACTACACACAAAAGACCATCTAACGACACCCATCAATCACAGTGACAGATAATCTCTCCTCCTTATCACAACAATACACCCACAACAAAAACACACTGATCACCATAATCACCCATCTCCTGAAAAGGACAAAAGCTGATTTCACAGCCATAAATACTCAACTCCCAAACAAACTGCACCAGAGCACAGAGTGCTGTCCTCTGAAGATGCTGGCCACAGAGACTGGTGAAAAGTTAGGAAGAACAACTAGACAGTGTTATGTCTTCCTTGGGTTAGCTGTGGATATTAACACTTTAATTCTTTTCAAATGGCTGTTGGGGGAGTTAAAACATGCTTAAAAGGGGAATTATTTTACTTCTCCAGAGCAGCAATATAAGGATGCTCCTCTTGTAGATATGATCCATGAAGCAGAGTGGGGACACTTGGCCTAGAAATGATAGTCAATGTCCCAAATAGATAGTGAGAGATACTCGCCTGCTTCTAAAAGAAGGGGTAGGGATGGCTATTTACTCACTGGGTGAAGGATGGTGTGGTGTGTCCAAAACATGGAGAAGAGCAAAGAGAATGCACAAAAGTCATGAAGCAGTGAGTACTGTGGATGCACACATAGCACACATTCACACCCACTGCAACCCCTCCAATTCCAAATTTGTTAGCCCCCATTTGAAGTTGACACTGGACAGAACACTGAATATGAGGAATTCCCTTGAGCATTCACACATATGAATCAGTGTTGGGTTTGGGAAGGAGGGGTGCTTCCAGTATCAGCCAGAAACATTCAGCTACTTCAGCTAGCAGCCAGGAAGAAGCCAGTGTGTTTACAAAATCCAGACTGCTTTTTTTGTATCATTGGGAACATTGTGAACATTTTCATAGATTCTTACCTGTGTACTCCAGAGGGCAAATGCACTCATACTTCCCTATCATGTTCAGGCATGTGCCACCATTCAGGCAAGGGTCCGAAACACATTCATCCACTTCCAGGTGACAGTGCTTTCCTTGGTAGCCTGGGACACAGTAGCAGGAGTACCCGCTGAGGTTGTCTCTGCAGACTGCTCCGTTGTGGCAAGGGCTGGAAAGGCATTCGTCGATATCAGTTTCACAGTATGTACCCGTGTATCCTTCAGCACAGAGGCAGGCAAGGCCACCGGGCTGATCCTGGCAAGTGCCTCCATGCCTGCAGAAATGCCAGTCACATGAGCTGGCAGCCATTTCGCAGGTAGTTCCAGTGTACCCCAAGGGGCAGTTGCAAGTAAAGCTGAGGTTTCCTGCAGCGCTTGAACAGGTAGCATTGTGGAGACAAGGGCTAGAGGAGCAAGGGTCGTAGCCTGTTTGCACACAGTGTTGTGACGAGTCAGGACAATGGCAACCGCCACCTTTTGCTGCTGCTGCTGCAGCATCGTCATCACCACCACACTCAGAGTCCTTTTGGCAAGGGTTTGACAGGCACCTGGGGCCATCTTTCATGCAAAGTGACTCTAGGAAAGAAAATCAGAGATTAATGGGTTACTCTCAGGAGTCAGAAATGGATAGGAATAAATGAGATCTGCAACAAAGTGTTGCAGGCCGTCCCTTGCCCTGGAGACCTCCTATTTAGTGCTTAAAACAGTGCATGTTTTTGCATATTTATCTTCTCTCAGTATATATAAAAAGCATTGCCTCATTCCTGGGCAGCTCGGTGTTCTGCTTCAAAATGGTAATTGCTCAAGCTATTTATGCAGAATGAAGGCAAACACAATTGCACAGTAGGGCCTAAAAGATGCACGTAATCCCCTGGATTAATTATAAATGGCCCTGAAATTTTAATTCCAGTAATTTAATTTGGGTGGCCTTTAAATGTGGTCTGCAACCCGACTGTTGACTCAATAAATTAAAGGGGGAAAACCCTGCTTTCTTACAGCTGCCACAAGAATTCACAGTGGTGCACTTTCAATAGTGCCCTTGCCCACTTATTTTCCTCTCCTCTTTCTTCTCCTCCTCACTTCTTTTTTCCCTCCATATACCTCAGATTGGAAGACCAGTGGGCAGAGACAGTTCAGCTTACTGCTGTGCATATAGCATTGCGTGGGATCTGGCTGCATTTTTCGCTTTATGCATTGAGCTTTCCTGAGTGGTAGGATGTTTGTGGAGGCAAATGTTTATTACTGTATTTTTCTCTTTGGAAAGGAAGAAGTAAAGAAAATGCACAGGAGATTGTTTATTAGTTTTAACAGATTTAATACATTTGAATAATCCATTTCAAATTGTGTTAAGAAATTCATAGACAAAGCACAGAGCCGGATCCAGGCACCCGGGAAGACAGAAGTCCGGAAGAAGCACCAGTAGCTACAAAGCGACCTGCAAATTATGCAGCTCTCAACCCTGCTACCTACCACTCAGTAAAGCCCTAAGGGTGGGCCAAATGGGGCTTTGACTCAGGGTAACAACATGTAGCAGGCACGGAGATTTGCTGCAAGTCCACCTGCCTTGAGGGCATATATACCATCTCCAACCACTCCTCCCTGGGTAGAAGGTTACATAAGACAGATGAGCTCAGTGTGGAACCAGTACAGCTTTCATGCACTCAGACCTAAGTGCTCTTCCCCACCCCTCCATTCTCTTCAATAATGCATCAATCTCACATGACCCAAGCTTGACCAATCGGGTAATGAAACCTCACGCATCAAAACAGCTAGTAACGGTGCTCCCATTCAGTTCCTAAATGGAGACTTTGTTTCCTTGCTTTGGGTTCACTTAAACATGCACCTAGGAGTTTGAGCCCTGGATATGGCAAACATTAGGAAGCTCAAGTTGCTACCAGTTATTGACTGAAATCCTGTTGCACAGGTACACAAACGCAGCATGCAACAGGTAAGGCCTTATGGAGATTTCTTAATTTAGAGAATGGGAAAGAAGTACGCAATAGGATTTCAGCCACTGAAATGGATTAAAATGTCCTCAGAGTGGTTACACAAGTTAGAAAGCTGATAATGGGTGCATATTGAAATAGTACCTCTCTTGTGGCTACAGAGAAAGAAATCTCTTAAAAACATTAAAGTATTTTATAAAATGCATAATAACATGAAAACACAAGTGGAGAGGGCTGGAAGTACATTATGAGATGGACAGAAGCTTCAGTCTGCACTGCTTTTTGCCCAGTCTAAAGTGAAAAGGGGGGGGCATCAGGTGGAGAGAGACGATAACAGTACTTTCAAACAATTATCATTCCAAACATGAGGGTTTAGATCCCATTAAAACAGAAGCCTGTGTGTCAAAGCCACACAAAGTGATCCCTAGCATATGGGCGTGAACCATTATCATAAGCTTCACTGTTATATCCAATGTAATCTCAAAGCTAATGCTTTCCATGGAAACTATTCATGCATTCAGCTCTCAAGTGCCTGAGTAATCAAGAGATGCATGTGTGAATGAGTCCAAGGAATATCAACATGTATTAAAGACCTGGTTCCCAGGATCCTGTGGGCGGGGTGATGGTGGACAGCAGCTTGTTATTGGGGACACATAACTTCCTTTTCCTGACTGGCTGAGCTAGATTTGTTCATGGAAATGTAAAAAAGAACTGAAAGGGTTTGCTAGTGTCTGGCCTTTTCACATAGGGGAGCAAACATCTAATTCCACAGACGCTGCTTTTCCTGTGTGCTGTGACCTGCAGTGTGAGTAACCCATGCTAGGGGGTAAGAGCATGCTGAGCACAGACACATGGACTTCCTCATGTTTGAGCTACAAACATCTGTTTCTTCTGAATAAGAATATTGTCCCAATTAACACGGTCAGAAGGGAGTGTAAAGAGTACGGGGAGGGAGGAAACAGAAACCTGCAGTGACGTTGGGCGCTGGGTCTTGGCAGCTTTGAATACAGGATAAGAACCACACAAGTTCTTTCCCGTTCTCAACCAATTAAGATCACTTAGCTGTGACCTGCTTTGACAGAGACTCTTGGAAAAAAATATTTAACATCTAGAAAAATTAAAATAAACTGCCGATCACTTTGGATTTAGACTGACTGACACATAAAATAATTCTCTGAGTCTCTTTAAAAGGCACCATAGCATTAACCTAATTACTTGAGGAATTAGTGCCAAACATTTTGCCCCATAGTTAAAGCCTTTTGATGTAACTGAGATGCTTTGGCAGGAGAATCTTTTCTCCTTCAGAAAACAGAATATATTTGAGTCAATACTTCTTCTACGGAGATGTTTATTCACAGTAAAGATTGCCATCTACTGGCACTTATCAGTATTAAGCAGATACTTCTCCCATCAAAATAAACGGTCCCCTGTAAGGAGTGCTCAGCATTGGTTCTTGCATGAACATTTAATATAAACAAAGTAGAAAAGGCAACACAGATCTCTTTTATCAAAAGATTTCAATCTTAGACCAATGTCTGTTGGCAGTGATAGATTGGATGAGGGATAATTAACCGAAACTTGATCCAGACAAGACAGAAATGCTCCTGGTCAGCCACAGGGCAAATCATGGGATAGCCTGTTACACTCTCCCTGAAAAAAACAGGTCTTCAGCTTGGGTGTATTCCTGGGCATAATCCTGAGCTTGCATGCACAGTTCTCAGCAGTGGTCAAAAGTGCATTTGCTCAGTTAAAGCTGGTTTTGAATACTGTACTGCACTCTATGTGAGGCTGCCTTCTGAAGAGTGTTCAGAAAATTCAGCTGGTTCAAAATGCTACAGCTAGATTGTTGACTGGCATTGGTTACAGGGAGCATGTAACTGCCTTATTGCAACAGCTTCACTGGCTGCCAGTCTGTTTTGGGACCCAGTTCAAAGTGCTGGTTATTACCTATAAAGCCAGGCAGTCTATTCTCACAGACTTTCCTGAAACCTGGTGAGCTGTAAGCCACACAAAATCCAATTGCAACAGATTTCAAGTGATGCCCTTTTAAAATCGCATGGGTCAATATAACAATATTCTCACTAAACACCACCTGCATGTTTAATGGACCAGGTTCAATCCCTTTAGTAGTCAGTAGGTCTGGGAAACATATGATTAAGCCACTGCTGAGCTGGGCTTCAGCAGCAATTAAGCCGCTGCTGAGCGGGACTTCAGCAGCGTGGCTCACCTTTGCCATCTTCCCTGGAGGACATGAGATCTCGCAACCTCACGCAAGCAGATTCAAGAAGAGGGGGGAACAATACAACCTCGCACAAGCAGATTCAAGAAGAGGGGGGAACAATAGGTTATTTAAGGATGGTTCCCCCCTCTTTGCTTCCTCTTTCTTGCTGGCATCCCACCCGCCTACCCTATATTCTAGTGTGAGTTTATCTGGTCGCCTTGTGCGATTAGTAGGAACTTTTGACCTGTTTCCTGATTGGCTTTTGGAGGTAGGGATTTTTCACTTATCCCACACTGGAAAAGGTGTGCTGGCCCCTATCCCACACTGGAAAAGGTGCGCTGGCATTTTTTGTGGCGGACATTTGGTCACACTGGCAGTTAGTGCGAACTAAACAGGTATTTTGGAATTTTTGTGGTGGACATTTGGTCACACTGGCGGTTAGTGCGAACTAAACAGGTATTTTGGAAAGTCCCAGAGCAATACAGGTAATTATCGCTCATCTGAACTCCCAGCACTGCGGATCGTGCGATTACAGTGCTTGGAGGAAAAGATGCCCTGGGAACACACCCGGACCAACAGTCAACAAGGAGAGAGTGGCTGGAGATCCGGGTGGCCAAATTTGAGACAGTCAAATTTCTCGCTGTCTTCATGGCTGGGAGAACCTGGGCCAGGGACTCGCACATTAGTTGGTTATAAAGGGGCTGTTTAGACCTCAGGTTTTGAAACCTGAGTCTGCACTACGGTGGATCCTGGAAGCCACTGCCAGATGATACACACATTCTCATGTTCGGGGTAAGAGGGCAATGCTCCTGGGATCCTGGAAGCCACTGCCAGATGATACACACATTATCATGTTAGATGTGCTCACCAGAGCTCAGAAGCAGCTAGCTAATCACAATACTAGAATTAGCTGTAGCTATAGAACTGGTAGCACGGGGTGGTTTATTCTGGATTGATTTATGAAGCATGTTTTCCCCCTTTCCTTGCATGTGAGATCACATTTTTCACTCTAAATTGGTATTTGGAGTGTGTCTCACAGTATTGAACTTAGGGGAGCTACTACAAATTATTCTCCTTTCAAGAGCAGGGCTGATGTCGACCACCTCAATACATTTTTTATTAGATTAGCACTGTATCACATAGTTGTTTCAGCAATGAGGCACTCTCGCTTGCTTTTTATCTGGTTGCTTTATTACAGGGGTTAGCTCATTTCATTTCTTAATGCAATTGCAACAGATATAAAACTTCAGGTGTGCACTGCTGTCCTGGGGACAAGATTCATTGTTCTCAAAATAGCTGCTGACGGGAAGATGGGAGAATGACAAAAGAGAAGGAGAAGATGTCGAGGACAGGGCTGTGATTCTGGGGGAAATCAAGGTGATCTGAGAAGTGTGGTGTGGACTCTCACA